GTGGTCAGTGGGCATGGTGATGGTGGGAGTGGGTTGGTGGTTGGACTAGATGGTCTTAGTGGTCTTTTCCATCCTTAATGGTTCTATGATTTAGTCATCCTATGAGCTCTACATAAAGAAATAAACAGCGTATCTCTACACAAGAGACTAAACAAACAGAATAAACAGAATGAGTGTTTGAAACCGTTCTAAGATGCCCTCAAGCTCTGAAGGAAACACAGACTCACACTGCTGATCACTGAAGATTAGCAGTATCCCACACACCACGCTACAAAGAGAGAAAGACAGCGTAATCTTCTTGGCAAGGATCACTACTGGAAGGAAGAAACCTTCCAACTCCACCAAGAACAGCTATCCAATCTAATTTCAAAGGATCACATAAAATGCTCTCAATTACTACGCAATCTTTCTTTAACATCAGCAGAACCTCCAATCTCAAAAGCCTACTCAGTTACATCACGTAACAAGCAACAAATCAGAGGGCAAGAAGTTCTGTAACAGGTTCAGCAGGCAGCCCCATAATCCCCATACAGCATTCTCCTCGCTGGGAAGTTCTAAGGCACCACTCGGAGCAGGAAGGGTCGCAGCCACAGACAGCTCTAGGATGAGAGAAAACACACGGGAGAAAAGCCCTCAAGAAAGGGATGACCACGTGGCTACAAAGAGCCACAGCGCTCCCAGAGACCACGCGACTCCCCCGGGCTTCGGCCACGCTCCCACACGCCGACACGCAGCTCTCGCAGAGAGGAGGGCTGGCCGAGCGGGAAGCAGCAGCGAGCCCGCAGATCCACCCGCCCGCAGCCGTGCAGTTCCTCGCGGCGGTGCGCCCGGGAGGGCCGCGATGCTCACCCAGCACCAGGACGCTCTTCCCCGAGGGCAGCTTGGAGCGGGAGCGCGTGGACACCTCGCTGAGGATGCAGGACCTGCGGCGGAGAGAGGCGCGGCTGAGCCGGGGCTGCGGGGCCGCCGCCCAGCGCCCCCCTTCTCTTCTCCTCGCTTCCCTTCCTTCCCGCCCGCAGCGCGGCCCCCGCCTCCCCACCCTCGGGGCCGGCAGCCACCGCCCGGCCGGCCGTGTCGGCCCGCAGCCCGGCGGCGGGGCGGGGCGGGCGATTACCAGAGGTTCTGCCCGTCGTCCTCCTCGCCGCCCGCCCGCAGCTCCGCGCCGGCGTTGTTCGCGGCGCCGGATGCCGAGGAGGAACCGAAGGAACCGGCTCTCCCCACCGCCGCCATCTTCGCCGCCTCCTCCCTTCCCCGCCCCGCCGCCTCCCCGAAACGCGGAGCGGGCGGCGGCGCGGCGGCGGTTGACAGGAACCCGGATGTGGGGAGCCGGGGGCGGAGCGGAGGGAGGTGCGCCGCGCCCCGCTGAGGCCGAGCGGGCGTCCCCGAGCCGGGCGCCGGCGGGGAGCGGCCCGAGGGCCGAGAGGGGCGTGGGGAGCGTGTCCTGCGGGCGGAGCTCTGCGGCTGGGAGAGGGAGCCGCGTTCCGCTGCCCGCCCGCTCTCACGGGGATCGGTGTTGCCGGCTGGTAAACGCGCAACGGTGGTTGCGAATGTGCTAAAGCCTATTCAGCGTGATGGGAGCCCTCCTTCCCTCAGCCGTTCCCACTTCGAGGCGGCTTTCCCTGTCTCCTTCTGCAGTCGTGGAGGGTTCAGCTGCGTGCCTTTGCACGAGATGGGAGAGGTGTGCAATCCGAACTCCCGGAGGACTCTCGTACCAACAGGTGGGCACCTGACGCCTCTGGTGATGCTGCGTATCCAATGCCTTCACCAGAAGCCGTCCCTCCCTCCTCTCCGTTTCGTCCCTCTCTCAGGCAGTGCGGAGAATCACAGAATCACAAGGAAGTGCTTGGTCATCGCGCTGTCCTAGCTTAGTCTGGGGGATAAAACAGCGAGGTTGAAGCCTGTATGTTAGAATTGAGCCTTCACCAGCTCTGCAGTGTGCTGGCACGCACGTTGCTAACAGGCAAGGCTGCTGTACGGTGAGCATTACTCAGCTGCACTTGTGATGGACAAGGAAGTTCAGAAAAGCCTGTAGTGAAGATGGAGCAACCATAGAAAAGAATGAAAATCTATAAAACGTTATTTCCTTTCACCCTCTGCAAGGTAACCTTCTGTCTGGCAGACAGTCATGGGGATGTATGGGAACTGCTGTTCCATGCAGCCTGTACCCGACGGGCACTGCAAACAGGGGCTGCTGGTAATGGAATGGCACCCAGCAAATGTGCAGGCCTCCTTTCCTGCTGCCTTACCCAACCTGTAGTGATTTATTCAAGCACATTAAATAGAAGGGCTTTCCACACTGCGAAACTGTAAAATTAAACTTACACGTTTCAAATGTGCTTTCTTAAAATATTGTGCTGTCAATATATCCACTACGAAACTACTGTACTGTTCTGGTACCTAGGCACCATTATGCTTGTAGGGGTAGATCTGTTGTATGAGGTGTACAACAGTAATGAAGAATTAGGTCCCTCAGTTATGATGACAAATAACTTCATCTGTGCTGTTGATTGTTAGCAACAATTCTGACTTGAAAAAGGGGTGTCCATGGTTTAAGGACCTCTCTGAGGTACCCTGAGGCAGCCAGTCCTGGAGCAACCAGTCATGCTGGCAGCAGGCAAAGGCACTTCCTGGGTGCAGAGGTTGTTGACTGCAGGAGTGGAGTGTTGGCTTCCCCAGTGTTCTGAGCCTTCCCTGTCTCTGACAGGCCTGGATCATTCTGTATTCATCTGCAGGGCTCCTTGTTGGT